TTGTCTCTCTGGATTTACTCTTCTCACTGTCCTCTCTATATTTCGTTTGTTGTCTCTCAACTCTCTCCTCCTGCATCTCATTAGTCTCTCTTCATCTCTTTGTTTTCCTCCTCCCCCTCCTCTCTTGTCTGGTTTGAATGCACTGCATCTTGCATGTTTCTGAACATACTTTGCTTCTTAACTCACTGTCGGAGTTTGTGTGTCTTTCAGGGTCGCGTATTGAAAGCACACTTGTTTTCTACAAGTTTTAAAGAGCTGGTAGTCGATGAATATTTTAAAAGCCTTCACTTTGCCGCTCTTGTTGAATGTTTGCGAGTGTGTAAGCTGTGTTTTTCTGAAAGTGTTGTGAGGTGAGGTGCTGTCAGAGAAAAGATGTTCACACTGACATCCTGCACTTATAAAACATATATCATCCTCTTTGTGTCCTTTGCAGCGGTGGAAGAAGTACTCAGATCTAGTAAAAGTAGAAGTACTAAGATCTTGTACTTGAGTAAAAGTAGAAGTACTCAGATCGTGTACTTGAGTAAAAGTAGAAGTACTCAGATCGTGTACTTGAGTAAAAGTAGAAGTACTCAGATCTAGTAAAAGTAGAAGTACTAAGATCTTGTACTTGAGTAAAAGTAGAAGTACTCAGATCATGTACTTGAGTAAAAGTAGAAGTACTCAGATCTTGTACTTGAGTAAAAGTAGAAGTACTAAGATCTTGTACTTGAGTAAAAGTAGAAGTACTCAGATGTTGTTCTTGAGTAAAAGTAGAAGTACTCAGATCTTGTTCTTGAGTAAAAGTAGAAGTACTCAGATGTTGTTCTTGAGTAAAAGTAGAAGTACTCAGATCTTGTACTTGAGTAAAAGTAGAAGTACCAGAGTGTAGGAATACTCTGTTACAGTAAAAGTCCTACATTCAAAATGTTCCTCAAGTAAAAGTAGAAAAGTATTCTTATCAAAATATAGTGAAAGTAGCGACAGTAAAAGTAGTCATTGTGCAGATTGGTCCATTTCAGAATAATATATATGATATGTTTTATAATGATTGATCATGAAAGTGTTCTCAAAGCTGGTAAAGGAGCAGCTAGTTTGAATGACTTTGTATACTGCAGGGTAGCTTGTGGATTTACTCCAGGTGGAACTACAGTCTGATTTAACACTTGATTATATTTCACATCATTCATCCACATCTGTAAAGTAACTAAAGGTATTAAATACATGTAGTGGAGGAAAAGTACAAAGTCACATAAAAAGGGAAATACTCAAGTAAATTACAAGTACCTCAAAATTGTGCTTGAGTAAATCTACTTGACACCACTGGTCCATTGCATCTCTATATCTTCCTCTCCTATAACCCCATTTCCCCCTTTCATTGAAGCTAATGATGTTTCCTTCTTTTATCATGTCCTCCTCGTCATCCTCAATTCTTTATTCATTCCTTTTGCTTCTCCCTTTGTATCCTCTTGTTTTTAATCATCTTCCTCCTCTCGTCTCATTCCTGTTGTCCTAACTGTCTCTTGTTTACGCTCGCTTATTATCCTCTCCCTTTTATATTTTCCTTCCTCATTTTGACACGGTTTCACTTAAATATTTCCCGTCTTCTTTAATCCCAATCTCTTCCTCTCGGCCTCCTTTCATCTCGTCTTCCACCTCTGCCTCATCTGTCTTTCCCTCTGCTCTCCTCCATCTTCCTCTTCACTTCAACCCCTCCAGGCTTCAGCGTATAGAGGAAATGGATGAGGCAAGTTCAAGCCTTTTTTATACCCCTCTGTTGATATTCCTTTCAATATGTTTCACTTAAATGAAATAGTAACACTTCACCTAAATCTTTCATCTGACTACCTAAGGCTTTCATCTATTCAGACTTTAATATTTGACTAGAACAGTTGGTAACACTTCTTCCTCGGGCTTTCATGTTTTGTAAGAGGGATGTGATGATCCAAAATGATGAAAACTGTTTAACTGGAGCCCATTTTGTGTGTCCTGAGCTGAATAACCCAAATAAGCTTTGGAAATCTGACGTAACAGAGCACCAACCTTCGCCTAAATATCAATGTCTGGATCAAAGCAAATGTCTCCGCAGAGCTTCACACCATCATCAATGTCACAGTGTGTTTATTCAAGATGACATTGTCTAACTTGCATATTTATTTCTACACATATTCTTCACCCAAATGGCATTCAATCTACTGACTGAAGACGCTGCTTTGAATTTAGAATTATCTTTTGCCAACAGACAGCTCTCTTTTTATGTTGCGCAGAGCCAGATGTTAGGGAATAATTTGCTTAGGTATTCAACCTTCGACCCAGTTCATCGTTTTCTCCTCTCACTGTCTCCTTTCCCGTGGCATAGGTCTACGGCCTTGGGTATTGCTGCTATCTCTCTTAAGGAGGGGCAGCTTGGGCGCAACGAGGTAGTTTACTGTTCAGGGACGTAGGTTCCCTGGCGCACATTATTTTCTATGGACGAGAGAGCTCTAGTTAGATTCAGGGTCCATATTGCTTTAGTCTCGCTGATGAAGAATGTTGATTATTACACTCCGAACTAGTTAAAACCTCGAGCTACAGAAAGAGTTCTTCAGAATTGGTTTGGCACCCGCTGTGTCAACTCGTGACACACCACCTGTCTTGTCAATTCTCCGGCCGTAACTCCAAATAAACCGTCAGTGTTTGCCATCAAAGCTCCAGCTCTCCTCGTGTCTCTCTGAGTCCTGACTCTCCATTGCTACAGAAGTTTCCCCCACACCAGATACTATTGGAAAGGATGGGATATGAGTGTAACTATAAACGTGAATGCAGATTCCTTAGCATTCTCTCAAAGTACGTTAATGAAGATAGGTTTAAAAGCATCTCAACAACACCTCAAATAACCTCCTGATATATTTATACCCAGTCAATTTGTTCAGCTTTGTTTGTCTTCGATTTTACAACACATCCATTTTCCTTCCTACCTAATATTTACCAACATCCCTTCTTCGAATCATCCCTCCCTTCCTACTTCCTTTCATCCATTTATCCCTTCCTTTGTTCAGATCCTTCATCCCCTTCATCACCCCGCTTCCTACATCCTTTCTTCCCTACATCCCTTCATCCCTCCCTCCCTTCCTACAATCCTTTCTTCCCTACATCCCTTCATCCTCCTCCCTCCTACATCCTTTCTCCTACAATCCCTCCCCCCTTCCTACATCCTTTCTTCCCTACATCCCGTCCCCCTTCCTAATCCTTCCTTCGTCACTACATCCATCCCCCCTTCCTACATCCTTTCCTCCCTACATCCATCCTCCCTTCCTACATCCTTTCTTCCCTACATCCCTCCCCCCTTCCTACATCCTTTCTTCCCTACATCCCTTCATCCATCCTCGCTCCCTTCTTCCTTCCTCACCCCTTCCCCTTACATCCAATATCTCCTGTATATAAATCTTAACCGACATAATGTTTTTGTGTAGTCCTTGCTAGTAAAACCACACCACTGTGTATTACCCGTCAGTCGGCCATTGGTCCATACTGAAATAATTATATGTTGTGAACAGATTGACATCACGCTTGGCCCACATGTCCATATTGCTGAGAAGTTGAATCATAAAGACTTTGGATGATCCTTGTGAAGTTTTGATCTGTACTGCCCCGAGCACAATTTAATTATTCAGTGAAATATTTCAAGACCTACCAGATGGATTGCAATAGTCATGGTTTCCAGATGTTATATCCTTCTGATTGTAGGGACTTCTCTTTTAGTGCCGCCATGTTAAATCAATATATTTTGAATGTTAAGCTGTAGCTGTTTCTGATTTTTCGTCCTGTTTTTTTTATTATGCCATAGTTCCCTGGTGCACCTGGTCTGCCCCTGGCTCCGCCTCTGTCCAGGTGTTCCTAAATCCACTCAGCCGGGTTATAAGGAGAGACTGGAAGAGAAGGATCCGTCGCCTATCCTACTGCCGGAAGACACTCTTCTTTTGAGGATCTCTCTGCTGCTTTTGAGCTATAGACCCCATTGCTGCTGATGTTTGATGTGTAGCCTGGAGGACCTGGTAGTCTAGTTTTCGTGGCTTTATTTTGTTTCCCATAGGGTTTTGTTTGATTTCTGGTTAGGGGAGGGAAGCTCTGGGTCCTACGGCCCGTGGTGTGGCTGGCTCGGGCCCCCTCCTTCTTTTTGTATCTTTTGGCCAGACCTCGTTCGTTTGCCGGATGGCTTGTGTGAGTAAACGGCTGTACATCAAATAAATGATCGCTATCAAGTACTGGTTTTTGGTGTGTTTTCTTGTATGTTGCGGGTCTCCCCACGAGCCACTACCACGGAGCGGGTCGTAACACTTAGTAACAATGGTGACTTTTCTTTACATGGCATTCCTGTTAAATCAATATATTCTAAATGTAAGCTATAGTTGTTTCTGATTTTTCGTCCTGTTTTATTCTTCGTATTCATCCTTAAATGTAACCTAATCTATATATTTCAACACCTAACAATGGTGACTTTTCTTTTTAGTGCAGTCATATTAAATCAATATATTTCCAATGTAAAGCTGTTGCTGTTTTTTCCTTCCAAAATAATGTAAAATAAAAATCAATGTGCTTTCTCTCCTGCACAACGGAGGTGCAATTTCCCCTGTACTCCTGTCAGCTTGATGTTATTGTAAAAAGCACCACAGTTGCACAGTGTGTGGTATATTTATTTGACATCCTTAGCCAGGATGAGTTTATTATACACAGAGAGTCGTCCGCAAGTCCTCAGAGCCATTTTCTCTCATTATTTTCAATATTTGCTTTTGTGCATTCTAGACAGCACTTATGGTCCCAGAAAGGCTCTAAATCCCCCGTCTTGGCTGCGGAGAACCAAGGCTCGCTTTGTAAAGTTAAAATAATTTCAACTTTCCGCAACAAAGCACCGAGCCTCAAATGGGGTTTCAGCTGTCGCATAGCAACAAGTGGCAAAAAAAAGCGGTTTGTGCGAGCAGCGTTTAGAGCAACAAACACAAAGGAAAAAAAAGTAAATATGCTCCGTGAACACAAAGACTTACTGCCATAGTCTCTGATGGAGAAGTTGGAGTTGTCGCTGGCCAGGCTGAAAGTGAAGGAGGCGGGCTGGTCGTCTTTATCTGTCGCTCTCAAGGTGCCTATCACCTGAGGAAAAAACAGAACATGTATTTTATCAAACCTGCAGCAGACTCTGTTTATACCAGGTCTACATTTGGAAAGCATATCATTTGTTGGGGGAGTGAACACAGTTACTAAAATACAGTTTATGCACATAGTGTTGAAGTATATCGCATAATGTAAATTCCATTCCTACATCCTTAAAATATTGTGTTGAGTATGTGTCCCTATAACCTGAGAAAAAACCCCAAATCTGATTAATTCATCCAGGAAACAGACATGGCTTATACTAAATCTAAATGTATACAGCATGCGATTTGATGGGGTTACTAAAAGTACACATATTATTAACATATACAATGTAAATTACATTTCTCCATCTGTTCAATATTGTGTGGAGTATGTGTGCAAGTCGACTCAGGAAACACACAGAAATCTAATTAATCAATACTGGAAACAGACTTTGTTTATACCATGTCTAAATATATACAGCATATTTATTATTTGGGAAATGAACACAATGCAGTTTATACACATACTGTTGACATATGTAACTCAATGTAAATTACATTCCTCCATCTGTTCAAGATTGTTGTTGAGAAGCATTTACTACACATGCCATTTCAGTTTTCTCTGTGTGAAACAGCAAACAGACAAACAAACACTGTATAGAAATCTTATTTGAGCTCTGAGCTATTTTGTTCCACTTACTTTAGTTGCGTCTTTTACAATTAAAAAAATAGGAGAGAGGCATTGCAGCATCTGAAGACACTACCCAAACAGAATTTTCATGCATTTGTGTGTTATTTTTGTTCAAACTATCACCTTTTCTCCAAGTTTTGCCTGTGCTATTAGTGAGGTTTAAAGAGGACATATTATGCTGATGTTCAGGTGTATATCAGTATGTAGTGTCTCTACTTTAAAGAGTCCTCTCCTGCTGATGTTCAGGTGTATATCAGTATGTAGTGTCTCTACTTTAAAGAGTCCTCTCCTGCTGATGTTCAGGTGTATATCAGTATGTAGTGTCTCTACTTTAAAGAGTTCTCTCCTGCTGATGTTCAGGTGTATATCAGTATGTAGTGTCTCTACTTTAAAGAGTCCTCTCCTGCTGATGTTCAGGTGTATATCAGTATGTAGTGTCTCTACTTTAAAGAGTCCTCTCCTGCTGATGTTCAGGTGTATATCAGTATGTAGTGTCTCTACTTTAAAGAGTCCTCTCCTGCTGATGTTCAGGTGTATATCAGTATGTAGTGTCTCTACTTTAAAGAGTCCTCTCCTGCTGATGTTCAGGTGTATATCAGTATGTAGTGTCTCTACTTTAAAGAGTCCTCTCCTGCTGATGTTCAGGTGTATATCAGTATGTAGTGTCTCTACTTTAAAGAGTCCTCTCCTGCTGATGTTCAGGTGTATATCAGTATGTAGTGTCTCTACTTTAAAGAGTCCTCTCCTGCTGATGTTCAGGTGTATACCAGTATGTAGTGTCTCTACTGTGACATGTCTACATCAAAATAAAAGATAAGAAAACCTGCTAAAAAACATGTTCTCTTACCGTATTGGTGCGGTCGTTCTCACATACGAAGATCTCATCCACATTCAGTTCAGGCTTGTTGTCGTTGACGTCCTGAACTATAATGTTGACTTTCACAAACGACTCCAAACCTGCAGAGAGACGTCAGCACGAGATTAGCCGACATTTAATGACAGATGTTTTATCACAGCAGCTAATTTTATAACGGACTTAATCTGGTCTTCACTATCTCTGACAATGGGAATAGACATTTCAATGAGCAGGGATTACTCAGAGCAGAAAACAATCCCTACATGTTACTCTCATGATGGATTTAATCTAATTTAATATGTGAAAGGGTACTACAGAAATAACAGACGCCTGCAAAATGAATTTAACATCCATCTTCAAGTCTCAAATTAAACCAATTGTAAACCAAGTTTTCTTTATTATTTTGTGTCATTTTTGTGCGTGCTCTTCATACAGCTTGTTTGTAATTAACCTTAACGAGCACAGTGATACGGATCAGGTGTGATATCTCCAGCTTTGACGAATCTCTTTAAGGTCAAGTGCCTCAAAGGATTTCTATTTGTGAGCTTTTTGTTTTGTAGCTTATTTTACATCACTGATGTTTTAAATATTCATCTTTTGATAAACGTGTGGGTCTCTTTCATGCCTCCTGTACTGAAACTATCTTTAGTAAAGCACATGTACTGTGCATCCAGGACAAGCTCAGGGGACCATTGTGTTCCTTAAACATGGTGACAAGCCACTAAAATAGATCTCTGGATTTCACTCATTGTAGAGCAAAACAAATATATATATATATAGTTTGGTTTGGGAGCTGCGAGTGAACAAAGAGAGCCTCTAATGTGATTTAGGTGCTTACTCTCTGCTTCACGCGTGGCACGACCAGGTGTTGAGGCAATATATTAAATCCTTAAAGATCCATGTTAACGTGTTACACTCAGAGTTTGCAGAGTTTAATAAATCAGACGTCAGCTTACTGAACTGCCAAAGAAATTGAATAGAGTGGTGCAGTGATGAGGTATTATTTTAGGTTGAATCCGTACGTAAGCATAGCAAGGGCTCCCTTGACACAAAGCCAATGGGATTTTAATGAATCTTACAGAAAATAATCTCTGTGGCAAACACACGTTCATGACACTTAGAGGTTTTGTTCAGCAGGATAATCTTCACATTAACACCTCGATTTTTGAAGTGACAAGCTAACATTAGGCTATAAAGAAACTACAGCACGGTCACATGACTTCACGTCACCACCGCTAAGCTAAAGGTGGCTAATGTTGGTCTATAAAGGAACTACAGCGCGGTCACATGACTTCACGTCACCACCGCTAAGCTAAAGGTGGCTATTGTTGGTCTATAAAGGAACTACTGCACGGTCACATGACTTCACGTCACCACCGCTAAGCTAAAGGTGGCTAATGTTGGTCTATAAAGAAACTACAGCACGGTCACATGACTTCACGTCACCACCGCTAAGCTAAAGGTGGCTAATGTTGGTCTATAAAGGAACTACAGCACGGTCACATGACTTCACGTCACCACCGCTAAGCTAAAGGTGGCTAATGTTGGTCTATAAAGGAACTACAGCGCGGTCACATGACTTCACGTCACCACCGCTAAGCTAAAGGTGGCTAATGTTGGTCTATAAAGGAACTACAGCGCGGTCACATGACTTCACGTCACCACCGCTAAGCTAAAGGCGGCTAATGTTGGGCTATAAAGGAACTACAGCACGGTCACATGACTTCACGTCACCACCGCTAAGCTAAAGGTGGCTAATGTTGGTCTATAAAGGAACTACAGCACGGTCACATGACTTCACGTCACCACCGCTAAGCTAAAGCCGGCTAATGTTGGGCTATAAAGGAACTACAGCTCGGTCACATGACTTCACGTCACCACCGCTAAGCTAAAGGCGGCTAATGTTGGGCTATAAAGGAACAGCATGGTCACATGACTTCACGTCACCACCACTAAGCTAAAGATGGCTAATGTTGAGCTATAAAGGAACTACAGCACGGTCACATGACTTCACGTCACCACCACTAAGCTAAAGATGGCTAATGTTGAGCTATAAAGGAACTACAGCACGGTCACATGACTTCACGTCACCACCGCTAAGCTAAAGGCGGCTAATGTTGGCCGTAAAGACGTTTTGTCATCTCAATGAGACACTTGTTAGCAACTTACATTTTTTGATTTACCTGTGGGGTATTTACTTATGTATTCTATGTCGTAGTACAACTTATCTTCAGCTTGTGTTAACCAACTTATTGCAGGCTAACAACCAAAAACACATTCAAGAAACCATCGACTTCAAGACAAGGGAACAGGAAGTGGTAAAATGCTGATTCATTTATATGTTTTACGATCATTCCTGCACTACACTCCCATCCCTGAATACATCCAGAAGAGTTGAACAACAACAAGAGAACACACTGTTTTATTTGGCCTTTGTAATCACCGCCTGAATGCACTTTGCCGTTGTTACAGAACACAGATGGTTTTAATTTTTGATCTGAGGCTCTATTGTTGAAGGATTAATAAACTTGTGCAGCTCGTGTGCGTGTGTGTGTGTGCGTGTGTGTGTGTGTGCGTGCGTGTGTGTGTGTGTGGGCGTACCACTTGGCTCCTCCTGAGCTTTAACTTGAAACATGTGTGTGGCCTCCAGCTCTCGGTCCAGCGTCCTCTGGGTGGAGAGCTGACCTGTGAACGGGTGAATTCCGATGGGGCAGTCCTTATCCAAGATGGAATACCTAAACAGAGGGAAAGAGTATTAAAGGTCCCCTATTATACTGTTTTTCATCAATATATTATAGGTCTCAGATATATACAAAACATGTCTCTGAAGTGTTTGGCTCCAAACACCAAACAGATCATTGCAGCATCCCATAATCCCCTCTGTTTCAGCCCTGTTTCAAAAGGGCTGATTCTCTGTCTGTTACTTTAGATGAAAATAAGGAGCCCCTCCCCACGCCCCTCTGAGAGATATTTGGTTACAAAGAACTCAATGGTGCTCTAGGAGGAGATTCAGGTGATAAGGTGGGGGGGGGGGGTTACCTTGGTTGCTGATTGGCTAATGGTTACACATTTTCAGACAGGTTTTTATATAAATGGATCAGGACAAAAAGAGAGAGAATCTTTTTTCCTGAAACTTTCAGAATCTCTTTACACAGAGGGGACACATGGTTATGTATACAAGGCATGAAAAAGTGGATTTTGCATAATAGGTGACCTTTAAAGTCAAGTTACATTATTTATTTATTTAGATTTCTGCATACCGAATGGTCTTATTAGCTCTGTCAGGGTCTCGGGCTTTTACTGATCCGATGTTGTTCACCATACGTTCCTCCATCACATTGAAAGTGTAGATGGGCTGTGAGAAGAGTGGAGCCTCGTCTACATCCAACACCTTGATGTTCACCTGTGGATTTAAGTTAATTCACAACAGTTTTAGGATATCTCTGACTTGTAATGTAGATATAAATAGAAATTGTGAGGACATGATGTGTTTACCTGAGCTGTGGTGACTGCACTGTTCTTGTTGTCGGCGGGGAAACGCAGGTTTTCTCGCACCTGGACAGTGAAGGTGTAGATGCTTTTTGTCTCGTAGTCCAAAGCCTGGGGAAAGAGGAGAATCAAAAAACGTTACTTTGAGATAATCGTTATAATCTTCTTTTGAGCTCTTTTCCTAACGGTTTAAATGCCATAATATTGTTTTTCCTCTCTTGACAAGACCAAAACAGGACTAAAAATGTACACTAAGCATTGTTTAATTGTTATTCCGCAGCTTATTTGAATACTCAATTCTGATTCGTCAATTTGGTCATTACAGAGGTTGTTAATTATTGCTAACAGACCGTTGCTAAGGAGAACAGACTGTTGCTAAGGAGGATCAAGGGACTATGTGCAGTCATATCAACCCGCAGAAAGGAAACCGGTTAATTTAACAAACATTTGTTTTTATCCATCAGAAAATCATTTTAATTTACGTTGCTGTCGCTGCAGTTCCAGACTCCAGATCAGTTTTTCATGAAGTATTTAAAGCGGTAGATTTGATAAGATATTGTGTTTTTTTCCAGCTATCATGCGAGGCTCATTCCTACCTGCTGTTTAGCTTTGATCCAGCTTGAAATGCTTTCTATCCATTGAAGAAGTTAACGTGTTTTAATATTTCAAAGTCTAAATTGCCACGTTTTGTTGGTCTTATTTTTAGACTATTTTGCACTTTGTATTTTCAACTGCATCTCCTATCTTTATCCTCAGTGGATTCACACCTGCGTCTTTTCACCAAGGACTCCCTGTCTTTGCCAGGTGTAAAAAGGCTTTAAATGTCACAAAATCCTGGCTCACTCTGGATTTAAGAAACCCACTAAAGTGCCATATTTTTCCCTCCATGCTAAACATGTTACCATGCGTGAAAATACATTTTTCCCTTTCCCTTTTTTCCAAGTCTGCACAATCTGAGACTCGCATGGTGTTGCGAATGCACTTTCATGTCGACAAATACATGGCAGCGAGCTTACTTTCACATTTCTGCTTATCGTTTTTCTCCCGCTGAATGGGAAACAGCAGTAAAATGTTGTTTCTGGCGGAGTGTTTTATCTGTGGATGGGACCACCACAGGTAGGCAGGGATATTCTGCTAACTGGATTATTCATGGTTACAGGGAATCTCAGTCGCAGGGTATCAAAGGCATGTGTAAACAGCTTAACAAGAATAAGACCTTCACCGCAGTGTGGACGATAGCTGGATGCTCTGTAAACACAGCCGGGAGGAAGATGAGGAGCGACAGAGCTGAGAGGAAGATTGTGCTGCGATGTTAGGCCATGCAACGTTGGTACTAGCTATTACATTTCATTAGGATACATTTTCAGCTCTCTGATGTCCCAAAAACATTATCTGAAGAGCAAACATTCCTGCAAGCATAAATAGCTCCCTTTGCCAGAAGGAGGTCATGAAGTATAGGTTTTTAATTATGTGTTCAACATAAAAATTCCCTGCTAAAAATGTCCAAAATGACCAATTTCCACGATGTAAGTGGCAGCAGTATGAATGCAAAAACACCAAACATCAACAAGTCAAGGATACATTTGTGTTGCATGGATTCATATCTCAAGATAAACCACAGCCAATGCTGCCAAGTACTCAAAATAAAGGAAAGAACCCATTACATCTGGAAATAAAAGGTAACATGAAGAGGGAACTAAGTATATAAAATGTTAAGGGAACTACAATAGTGTTTTTATTTGTCAGACAGATTATAGATTGTTATCTTCACGGTCATCTGTATATTTTTCTTGTTCTCGAATGCTGGTTTATTTCTATTTCAAGATGTTTCTATTTTAGAATTTTTTATTTCTTCTATTTTAGTTATGTGCAATGCCTTGTTTTGTTTTATGCTGCTGCAACGAAAACATTTAGCAAATTGGTACATCTTATCTCATCTTATTTGATCTTATCTTCTCCAACTCAATCACAAATTGAAGAATATGACAGCAAACTCAAAGTAACAAAATCGTTTATATTATATATTATTATTACATATCTATTCATCCATTGCCAGATTGCCTCCTACCTGTTTGAGCATGAGGTTTCCGTCCTTGTTGGGGCTGAGTTCGATGTTGAACATTTTGCTGTTTTCATTGAGAATAGTGAAGATGGGCTCTTTGTTCTGAACCTCGTCTCGATCCTCCAGCTCCAGAGTGCCGATCTTCTCGTTCAACTTGTGGTCCTCTGGAACCTGCAGTTCATAAATCCCTGAAGACAGAAAATAGAAATCACATTACATCACATCACATGTTACTTGTTAGACGCTTTTATCCAAAGCGACTTCCATACATTCATATGGACCAGGCCTCAATTAAACGCCTGCAGCTAGTCCAAAACGCAGCTGCACGTTTGCTGACTGGCCACAAAAAGCGTGACCACATCACCCCAATTCTGGCCTCACTACACTGGCTTCCAGTTCGGTTCAGAATTGATTTTAAAATCTTTTTATTTGTTTTTAAAGCCCTAAATGGGCTGGCTCCGGCCTATATAGCTGAACTCCTCCAGCGCTACACCCCACCAGAGCTTTAAGGTCTGCTGACCAGCTGCTGCTGGTAGTGCCCAAGACCAGGCTAAAAACCCGAGGGCACCGAGCCGTCGCTGCAGCTGGCCCTAGGCTCTGGAACACTCTGCCCCTCCATGTGAGGTCGGCCCAGACCCTAGGGGTTTTTAAATCTACTCTTAAGACACACTTCTTCTCCCTGGCCTTCTAGTCAGAGCGGAGCACGACTCCTGACTTTTCCTTGTGTTTTTTATTTTTTATTTTTTTATATACATCTGTTGTAATTTATTGTCTTTTATTGTGATTATAGTAATGTGTTTTTATTACATGTACAGCACTTTGGCTCGACCAAAAATCGCTTTATAAATAAAACTTGATTTGATTTGATTTGATTTGATTCAGTACTGTGGACAATCCCCACAGGAGCAATTTGGGGTGAAGTGTCTCAGGGACACAACGACATGCTGACTGCAGTGGGACTCGAACTTGCTATCCCCTGATTCAAAGTTCAGCGCACTATCCACTGAGCCACAGCCTCCCAATCACAGTGAATATGAGACGGTCAATGTGTTCATCAATCAAGCAATCAAATGTTATTGATACAGCCCAATATCACAAATAACACCTACATCGTGGTCTCTACAGTTGATCACCCTCTGCACTTGGCACAAGTACAATCTCAGAAAGAAACCCCCAAAAGTAACGGTGAAGAAATGGAAGAACAATTGGAGAGGAACCGACAGTCATGTGAATAGGTTAAAAGAGACGATAAAAGTCAAACTTAGAAAATCCAAAGGACAAAAAAGATAATGTGTTCATGTATTTATAAAAAACATTGATCTAAGTGGATGTCAGCGATCATTCAGGTGCTGCCAATAAATAATTCTGTATAAAATCCAGAACAAAGTGTCGAAAAGATGACCAAATGTTCACCAAAATAGGTGTAATATACTGTAACTTTAGCACTTCACCTTGATAGCAATATAATTATGCATCTTATTATTATTAATACTGGCTGCTACTTCACTTCAGACTGTAACAACATGCAATAATCATTGTTATGTGCAATAAACACCTCTCTCGAATTATTGCTATTTCAGTACCTATATTATAGGATTCCTTACTTTTTACATTACTGCTACTTCAACCTATTTCTCTTTTATGTTATTAACACGTGTTATCCTCTTCATTTAATGATAGTTTACTTTCGTTTTAGTGTTGCCTATCATCTGCAATGTCCCCTTCGGTGTTGTAACGCAGTACATTTCCCCGCTGTGACTCGAATAAACGTACTTCGGGTGAACGAGGCGTAGTTGTCGTTGGCGTCGGTGATGGAGATGGTGACGGAGGTGGTGGATGTGCTGCCGGAGGCCATTCCTCTCATATCCTGAGCTTTAACCACCAACACAAACCGACTCTGGGTCTCCCGGTCCAGCGTGTTTGTCTTGCAGCTGATCACACCTGCAGAGAACAGAGAAGGTGTTATCTTTTGAGGCCAACTCTGACTCATATTCAAGTAAAAATAGCTTGTGCATCTACACCTCGCCTTCATTAACTTAAAAAAAGACAATGTTGCCGCGGGGTAATGATGTTTTTTAGACGTCAGTGCGGCGAGCTTATCAGACAGAGGTGGGAAGTAGTGGAGTACAAATACTTTGTTATTGTACTTAAGTTCAGTTTCATCACACAGGCCCATAAGACTGTTAAACACCGTAACTTTTGAAATAACATACATAACATTCATCTGTTTGCAACTCACATATATCCTATATATCAATATTCCAATTACTCTATATAGACTATTCTGCACAGTTTCTATCATATTCTGTTTCTATTATATTCTATTTTATTTTATTTACTTGTACTATTTTATCTGTTTTATTGTGTTGCTCTGTTGGAGGAGCCTGTGACCTAAGATTTTCACTCTCATAACTACTGTACACTGTAGCTATGCACACATGACAATAAACGCTCTGACGACTTTTTACTTTGACTTCTTACATGTTGAACACAAATACCTGAACTTTCTACTTCTTACATTTTGAACACAAACACCTGTACTTTCTACTTCTTACATGTTGAACACAAATACCTGAACTTTCTACTTCTTACATTTTGAACACAAATACCTGTACTTTCTACTTCTTACATTTTGAACCCAAATACCTGTACTTTCTACTTCTTACATGTTGAACACAAATACCTGTACTTTCTACTTCTTACATTTTGAACCCAAATACCTGTACTTTCTACTTCTTACATGTTGAACACAAATACCTGTACTTTCTACTTCTTACATTTTGAACACAAATACATGTACTTTCTACTTCTTACATTTTGAACACTAATACCTGTACTTTCTACTTCTTACATGTTGAACACAAATACCTGTACTTTCTACTTCTCACATGTTGAACACAAATACCTGTACTTTCTACTTCTTACATGTTGAACACAAATACCTGTACTTTCTACTTCTCACATTTCCCAAACAGGCTGGTTCCTTTAGTTTGAATGTGTGTTTGGTGGCGTGATCATTATTATTTAGAGTCATTGCGTGCCTATTGATTTGAACACGATCCGTGTATCCATCATTTCCTGGTCTTCTCTAAAGAAGAAGGGACCAATGAAAACGTTGTCATGTTGCCGTTGTTCAGCATGGAAACATTCATTAGCTAACAATGACATTATTGTTCTATTAATATAAAGGGAGGTCAGGTACTCTTTAAAACAGCTGCTAGTTATGGGTACTTTTTACTGAAGTACATTTCAAAGCCCTCTTTACTTTTACTTGAGTAAAGAAGTTTAGTCAGTACTTTTCAAACACGAGTATCTGTACTTCTACTTGAGTAAAGGATGTGTTTATCTCTGCTTACCTGTAGTGCTGTGGATTTCGAAGGGAGAAATGGCTCTGTCTTGGATCAAAGAGTACTTGAGTTCTCCATTAGCGGTAGTGGGGTCGTCAGCATCGGTGGCCCTCACCTCAATTACTTTGGTTCCTAAATGCAGATCATAAAACAACATAAATCCATGCAGAAATATCCAAATGTCCGTGCATCCTGGCATTTTAAATGATTATACGTTCTGATTGTTTGCTATGTATAGTGGTATTTAAGTCCTTAATGTGCCTTTTTTCACAGTATGATGTGCTTATCACTGGGTTTGACAGGTGTTGACATTATGTTTCATTTGTCCTCGTCTTTTCACAGTACAGTCTATTTTTATACTTAATTATCACTGGGTGGTAAATGTCAAATACTTAACAACAGCGGAAAGATTGTTCTGCAAGAAAATGCTTCATGCTTTTATGGTGTGTACATTTGTGGATGAACTGGATATTCATTTCCATACCATTACATTGTATTGTCAATTGCATTTTTAACATATCTGAAATATGTTGGTCAGGCTGAAAAATGTGGGTCCAAGACACAGGACTTACGTATGTCCATTTAACAAGGGAAACAAAAAGTCAATTGACTCATGTAAACATTTGGACATATACATAACATATTTTTGAAGCCAAACCATGATGTTCAAGTATCATCTATCCTGTTTTTTTGTCGAAATCTAAAATATTAACCACATGTTTAAAACTGCGATCATCATCCCGGAGAAAATAAATTTCCCTTAGAGAACTGCCATTTTGTTTTTATGGTACCATAATTGTTATAGAGTAAGGTTGCTAATATACAGCTATACTAATGATGACTATTGGATTTTATTGAGCTTTTTCATTAAACAACTTCCAATTTACCAACTTCCAACTGGTTATATGTTACTTTCCACTTTCCACGAGCCGGGACGTAACAACGATAATACTTGAAATAACTCTGAAATAATAGACCTAATTTGACATCTATATGTTCACACTAGTGAGGAACCTTTTCCATGATCTTTTGTGACCGTACTCACCTATCGTAGACCTCTCCATAATGGATCCATTATATGTTTTGGGGAAAACTGGTGTGTTGTCGTTGATGTCGGTCACTTGAACAACAAATTCTCCAGAATCCTCTATCAGCTGATTGTTCCCGTCGTACATCGTGGCGGTCAGATGATATGCGTTCTTCTCCTCTCTGTCCAGAGACCTGGAGACAAACAGGTCTCCCTTGTTATCCACGTGGAAGATGGTGTTCGCTCCTTCACCCTCGATTTTAAAGCTCTTCACATCCACTCTCTGGCTCGACTTTAGCTGCGGATGAAAGACAATAAAAATACAGTTTTGTGGTTATTCTTTCCCAGCTGGTCCTGGAGTGACGACTTGAAATCAACAACCTTCCAGCTAATTCTCTACAAATAAACTGAGTATTCTCGAGATATCCCTCAAATATTCATCAAAGGGATGGTTAGCAACAAGTTAATGCCCTAGATTCGGAGCATGCGGCATCATTAAAACTAAATGGATGAGACAAAAATACAAATTGAAGTAGATTAATGGCGGTTTAAAGACTGAACTGTAGAAACACACGACCAGGAAGTAGACCAGAAACATGAGGAGGATTCTTGTTTAAAGGGGACCTATCATGCAAAATGCACTTTTGTACGTCTTTTATACATGAATATGTGTCCCCGGTGTTCCAGGGAACTCACCAAGTGTCAGAAAACACAACCCTCTCTATTTTCCTCCATACCCAAATCTCTAAAAAAGGGGCTGCAACGGATCTGATAAAAACTGATCCAGATTTGAACACTGTCCTGACGTCAGGACGGTGGTGCTACGGCTATTGGGCCAACTCCACCAATCAGGAGGAGACAGCCACGGCATTGCTGTTCGAAAGCGCTGGAGACGCTGTAGTACATATGCCAGGCCTCTAGATGGTGCTGTTCTCACAGAATCAGCCCTTGCAAAAACAGAGCTAACATTTTTCAAATTGAGCGAAATGAGGCATGGCTAAAATGCATGATCTGTTTGGTATTTTGAAAAAAAAAAAGTATAAATATGCCTTATATAGGTATGGTCCTACACTATATTATTCAAATATAGCATGATAGGTCCACTTTAAGTTGTGAGCCTTCCACGTGGTAAGTAATATACGAGATAGAGAATGGCTGTGCTTCAGAATAGATAATGACATAAAATGTGAAGCCCCTGCTCAGGTGTTCCTGATCTACACTAATCTTTAATATAAAAGGAAAGCTGGAAGAGATGGAGCTATCTGTGACTCTGACATGCTTTGTTTTAGTTACCAGACACCACAGCACTCAGTTATCCTAATTTAAGTTAATTATTTCATGTCTTTTTATGTGTTTTTGTTACATTTAGAGGATTTGGTAGTCCAGTTTTTGCATCCTATGGCCTTTGTTGTGGCTGGCTAAAGCTTCCTCCATCTTTTGGCCTTTTTTGAATGTCCTCCAGGGTATGAATGTTGGTATAAATACAATTATTATTTAGCGTTTCAAATATATACGTTGCAGTTGTTATGCTGTCGCCGTAACGTTTTTGGGGGCTCATCCGGAATGCTCATCTTCTGTTTCTCTTTCGCCAAGCATTAAATTAAATCTTCAGTTTTCCATCAAATCCATCCTCAGTGTTTTTGGAATCAGTGCTTCAAAAAGGATTTCCATTTCCACATTACCTGTCCGATCTTATAGGGAGTGGGTGCAGGTTTCTCCTCTTCCACGTACAGAGAGTTCCAGATCCAATCTCTTTTCTGCCTGAAAAGGACAGGATGCGTCTCCTTCTTCACAATCTCAACTTCGCCTAGCCGCTCTGCTTCCACCAGAGGAAAGTGAGAATCGGAAACAGCTAGAGAGACGGACAAGGCCGTAATGGCCATAGTCCACATCTGGAGCCAAGCCATCATCTAGGAGAGAAATAGAGGAAGGAAAAGAGGCAGAAGTGAACATGATATTCTTGCTTTTGTTCAAAATCAATCAATCAATCAATCAATGTTTATTTATATAGCTGTTGGGAAAATACTGAATGTCCTCTTCCAACATGAGAGTCCACATGATAACAAAGGTATCCCAACTGTAGCTGAGTACATGACAGGATGTATGATTACCAAGAAGAGCATCAGGACTGTTTGAGGCATATGATAGCTATGTGATTAACATGATGATTCAGCCTCTATGGAGATAGACATATGACAAGCATGATCATTTCTGACGTGGAGCTAATCTGAACTAAACATTGAATACTGCTTTCTATTCCTCCATCTTGTGACTGTGTAACTCCCTCTCTTGGATATCAGCATGTGAAGGACACTGTTCAGGAACTAGTTGATGCTCTGTATGTGATGACTACTTCCATTCTGGAGAGGATCACAGATACATGGATCCTGAGATTGAAGCTCAAGCCGGTGACGAGTGAGACTTTTCTAACAATAGCCCAATATGACAATTGTTGAATGTTGATGTCACACATGGAGCTGCTGTGATGCAAGTCTAATTTCAGACTTGATCTGACCATTAAAGTATTATCGTATCGTATCGTACTATGGTCATGCCAATACATTTCTTTGAATTGAGTGACTAAGGGTGGTGTGAGGGTGCAGAGAGGAATGTGGAAGCATGCCATCATCTAGGAGAGAAATAGAGGAAGGAAAAGAGGGAGACACAATATTCTTGCTTTTGTTCAAAATGTTTATGATCATAACGGCACAGACCAAATGTATACTGTATACTTATGTACGTTGTAATTGTACAAAGCTTCGGCAATACTGTATGTCACTATGGTCATGCCAGTAAAGCTCTTTGAATTGAGTGAATAAGGATAGTGTGATGGTGCAGAGAGGAATGTGGAAGCATGAGGAGAGGGAGCAAAAAAAAAAGTAGAAGAGATCACATTAAAACCATTTATCAGCTGTGGACAGACCCTTCCTGGTGCCAGGGTGAGACTCAGAGTGAAGGCCAAGGACTTTCACTCAGCTATCATTCAGGACCAGGGCTCTTAAACCCTCAGCCTGGGACCCAAATTAAACATTTAGCCTCTCATCATGGGACCCGGGCTAATGTGGCCGAATGGGGATCTATTAAACATAGGCCTGTGACCCATTTTAGGCCATGACCCACTGAGAGAGAGACAGAAAGAGACAGACAGACAAGAGACGCAAAGAGAAGCTGACATTAAAACCACTTAGGATGTCTGTATTTATCAGTCATTAAGAAGAAAAGACGTTTTCCATAAAGGGACTGTTTTGACATTTCCGAATTTCTGATTCTTTTAACCATTAATACAGCACATCAAATCGAGAGTGAAAAGGAGAAGCTTGGGTTGAAGGATTTGTTGTGGTTTTTCAAATCAAGGACTATAAGAGAAGGATGAGTCATTTTGTTGCAGATTAATTTTCTGTTGAATGCATAACCACAGAAAATTAGCAACATGGGCAACGGTGCCAACACAAAAAGAAAAAGGAAATTGAAAATGGCTCAACTTTTTGCCGTGCAACGTCATCTGGCAACAGACTGCGCTGCACCGGCCAAAACAATTAAGAAAGCACACATTCCTGGAAGATTACTTCATGAACAAGAACGCCCCAATCCCACTGTTTACCTTCAGACCATCGAGATGGAGGATAAAACAATTTGTAGTAATTCAGTTGTAAAATCCTTATAGTAAACAGTTGGCATCAGATAAGCCTTTAAACTCAAGGATTTAAAACTTGGATTTAAAGGGGATGTATATTTATAATAGAAAAAATCCCTTTTGTGCGCATACATCTGAGTATCTTGAGTCTCCAAAGGCTAAAGTCCATGACTGAAACGCCTCCATTGGACACCTTTGTTTACTTCCTTAACACAATGACATCACTTTCTAGCACTCACACTTTTTTAGCTAGCGCTCCAACACATTGTACGTGATAGGCTAAGGGGCGGGACATCTCTAAGCGGTCGACAAAATAACAACGGAGCCGGCCAGCTAACCAATCAGAGCAGGCTGGGCTCTGGTTTCAGACAAAGGGTGAAAAGAGATGCTGCACCACAGGCAGTATGAGAAAAATAAAGAGCTTTTTGAACATTAAAGCATGGAGACATGTCCCAGTAGAGACACTACATACTGATATACACCTGAACATCAGCAGGAGAGGACTCTTTAAAGTAGAGACACTACATACTGATATACACCTGAACATCAGCAGGAGAGGACTCTTTAAAGTAGAGACACTACATACTGATATACACCTGAACATCAGCAGGAGAGGACTCTTTAAAGTAGAGACACTACATACTGATATACACCTGAACATCATCAGGAGAGGACTCTTTAAAGTAGAGACACTACATACTGATATACACCTGAACATCAGCAGGAGAGGACTCTTTAAAGTAGAGACACTACATACTGATATACACCTGAACATCAGCAGGAGAGGACTCTTTAAAGTAGAGACAATACATACTGATATACACCTGAACATCAGCAGGAGAGGACTCTTTAAAGTAGAGACACTACATACTGATATACACCTGAACATCAGCAGGAGAGGACTCTTTAAAGTAGAGACACTACATACTGATATACCGGTACACCTGATCATCAGCAGGAGAGGACTCTTTAAAGTAGAGACACTACATACTGATATACACCTGAACATCAGCAGGAGAGGACTCTTTAAAGTAGAGACACTACATACTGATATACACCTGAACATCAGCAGGAGAGGACTCTTTAAAGTAGAGACACTACATACTGATATACACCTGAACATCAGCAGGAGAGGACTCTTTAAAGTAGAGACACTACATACTGATATACCGGTACACCTGATCATCAGCAGGAGAGGACTCTTTAAAGTAAAGACACTACATACTGATATACACCTGAACATCAGCAGGAGAGGACTCTTTAAAGTAGAGACACTACATACTGATATACACCTGAACATCAGCAGGAGAGGACTCTTTAAAGTAGAGACACTACATACTGATATACACCTGAACATCAGCAGGAGAGGACTCTTTAAAGTAGAGACACTACATACTGATATACACCTGAACATCAGCATAAAATGTCCTTTAAAAAAATTAAACATTGTGAATATACATTGAAGATCTGAACCAAACTGGCAGCTCTTGTGATTTTATGGCTTTTGACTGATTTCAAGTTTCACTGTCTTGCATCACTTGATCCTGCCTTCGAGCTGTTTTACCACTATTTAACCAAAAACAAAAATTTAGCAGTTGTAATGAACTGAACTTCAGCTTTTCCCTCATGGTATTTCTCACTATCTCCCCCTCTTTCATGGTCCCTGCCTCCCTCCACTACGGCTCTATCTAATAAGGCAGAAATGCCAGGGAACTAATCTTCAAAACATTTGAGTCTATATGCACTCCAGTAGATATGTGAGCGCTTCCCACTGGACAGATTACTGCATCTTATTGTCTTCCAGCCATTAGCAGCAGGGAGGAAGAAAGAGAGATTAGGATGAAGGGATTATTCCGGCACAAAGTCTTCTCCCTCTAATGGCCTAATCTGGTACTTTGCTGACCTCCCGTGACCTCTTCACACGGCTCCCCACAAATCAGCTCAAACAAAGACTCGACAGTGTTTTCTGGCTTTTAGTTCACATGCTTTGTTTGGGTTTTTATTTTTCCTCTTGTGTTCTTCTTTGTCTAGCTTCCTTTCAGGGCTAAATTAATTAAACAGAAGTGAGTAAATCATCGTTAATGGCAAATTGCGGTGGACTTTGTTGAGTGCCATTGAAGTAAAAACGTAATGCCAATTAGAAGTTATTTAGCTCCTTTAATACCTTAATCTCACTTGCTACTACCCCTCTTACTTTCCCATCAATTTAAAAAAGGACTGATGTTTTTCCCTCTAATGTAGTTAAAAGTTAGAATTTAAAGTCATTATTTCACGGCCACTTCTATGGTACATTAAAGAGGACATGGTGTGTTCATTTTCAGGTTCATTATGCATTGTGTGCCCCCATGTCTCCATATAATAACCCTGGCTAAGTGACTATTATTTTACAAGTTGCACCAGTATTCTCAGAATAATTAACTAGTAGTTTTGTGAATATTTGTTTGAACTACAATATACAGGTGATTTGAAAGGGTTGATCCTCTGGGGAGCATGAATGTAGTCGATCTGCCTCTCAAGAATAGAGTTCATGTGTGCAAATGTGATGTTTTAAAGAGGACCTATTGTTACAGTATGCTCATATTAGTATTGTCTCTACTGTGAAACTATTTTTCATTTAAAGTAATTTTTATGCTCATCTGACGAATGTAGGCAAGATAAATAAGACGTTATTTTGTTACCTAATATATTAGTTATAGCCGCTTAAAAGGCCATATTCTTCTCATTTTCAGGATCATATCAGTATGTAGTGTCTCTACTTTAAAGAGTCCTCTCCTGCTGATGTTCAGGTGTATATCAGTATGTAGTGTCTCTACTTTAAAGAGTCCTCTCCTGCTGATGTTCAGGTGTGTATCAGTATGTAGTGTCTCTACTTTAAAGAGTCCTCTCCTGCTGATGTTCAGGTGTATATCAGTATGTAGTGTCTCTACTTAAAAGAGTCCTCTCCTGCTGATATTCAGGTGGATATCAGTATGTAGTGTCTCTACTTTAAAGAGTCCTCTCCAGCTGATGTTCAGGTGTATATCAGTATGTAGTGTCTCTACTTTAAAGAGTCCTCTCCTGCTGATGTTCAGGTGTATATCAGTATGTAGTGTCTCTACTTTAAAGAGTCCTCTCCTGCTGATGTTCAGGTGTATATCAGTATGTAGTGTCTCTACTTTAAAGAGTCCTCTCCTGCTGATGTTCAGGTGTATATCAGTATGTAGTGTCTCTACTTTAAAGAGTCCTCTCCTGCTGATGTTCAGGTGTATATCAGTATGTAGTGTCTCTACTTTAAAG